CAGAAACCCTTGAACAGATTGCCTCTACACAAGCCACATAATTCCAGAAACTCTCCCTACTGATTGGTGATCTCGATGATGCCAAAAAGGGGGAAGAAGATCCTCATCAGTCCAAACCTAGGACCACCAGAGCCTCATCATCTGCTGAACTAGCTGTGGATCCCACTCCTTATTTTGAAGCTGCCCTCCAGAAGAAAAGGCTAGCTGGTATCCCTAGACCTCCATCTCCACAGAAGAAAGGTACTAAGAAGAAGAAAGCACTGAGCTTTAAAGGATGGAGACTGGGAGGATCTCAGGTGATGACCAAAACCCAATTTGAGGAAATGAAACAGAAGATGACCTCTACACACCAACAGAACCTTTATTTGGACAATGATGGTCATGTAAAGGTCAGACATGGTGGATCTCTGGAGGAGGCAGAATTTTGGTAACATAACAACATCCTTCCAAGAAAGGACATTCATGAAGGTGTCCTTAGCTACCTAGACTGCAAGCTCTCACCCGTCTGGGCTTCTTACCAGAGATATGGAAATCTCACTGGGATCAGAGAAGAGGTGAATGCAGGGTTGAAAAGGCTACAAGGATTGGATGAACAAGCAAGAGCTGAAGCTGCAAGGGCTATTATGTAATCGGATATCCTTGTAAACTATCCTTAATAAAAGAACATCTCTGCCTCTCACTTTGTAAGGCAATTCCTTCATATCTGTCTCTGCTTTTTTTGTTATTGATTGTTTGCTCTCTTTCTACTCTTATCTGCTATCTGATTGTACTGTACTCTTACTATTTTCCTATGCCAAGTTGCCCACCAAGATTTTAATGAAAGTTTTAAACTTTAACTCTTTATGGTGAAGACACTTCTCTGGAAATAGTTAATGGGATTTGGCATCATCAAAAAGGGGGAAATTGTACGGAATATTTGTAATTAGATTTTGATGATGCTATATTAATTAGGACTCTAGAGTACCCCTCTTTTGATTTTATGTTTTAGGATTTTCCTTGAAAAGTTCTTTAGTATAGTCGACTGGCAGAAGGCCTCCAGAACAGAAGACCTCCTGACAGAAGACCTTTGATAGGCTTTGTTTTAACAGAAGACCTTTGGCTCTCTGCTTCAGAACAGAAGACCTCTGGGTCTCTGTTAGCCTTTACACGGAAAGAAACCCTCCTGGTTCTCTGTTGAACATTTCTTCAATAGAAACCTCAAGAGTCTGAGATAACTTTCTCCAACAGAAGTGCTTAAGACCTTCTCTGACCGACTCTCGGCTGAAGACACCAGAAGGCCTGACACTTAGAGAATTTCACCAAGCCGGTAAACCAACTGAATATTCCTTCAACGGTTAGGAGTCTTGAACGGAAAAGCTACAGTACGCGCATTAAATGCACATTTAATGCCTCCCGTACTCTGTAGAGTAAATGCAGATGATTGGCCGCAATGTCAGGATTGCTTTATCCCAAAATAGTAACCCGCCAACTTTGCTGGGTCCTACTGGTCAAGTCAACTGCTCGCACATTTAATGCAGTTGTCCTCCTTCTCCTCTAACGGGAAGACAACCTCAGTATAAAAGATACACTACGAAGAACAACCGGATAACTTTGCTACAACAGTGCGAATACAAAAACATTCAAAAGCTACAAAACGCATAGCCTCCTTGAGATTCAATATTCATCATCTTCTACAAGAGAAGGCAGACGTTGGAAAGAATCTTACTTCCATCTCAAGCAAAGTTCTAGTCGTTCTTCAACTCTTCAAGCACTTCATATACAAATCTTTTGTAACGAAGCAAGTTGGAGGAACCCCTGTTTCAACAGGAACTCTTCTTTCACAAGAAGGACATCCAAGTACCTGGAGCAGTGAAGTGGTGATACTTCCGGGAAGCTCAGTGAAAGGACCAATCTTAAAGGAAGCCAGGAAGTGCATCCTAGGAGACATCTACAGTTGAAGAAGACGTGGAGAGCTTCTTAAGTGATAGGACTAAGACGTTGTAAACGGTCGTTTTTACAAGCTTAGTGGAACAGTGGACTAGAGGAACAAGTTGTTCCTTGAACCACTATAAAAAGCCATGGTGTCATTTACTTACTGCATTCATTTATCGTTTTTATTTGAACTGTTTAACTCCAAAGACTTGGTCTCTGTGTTCAGCAGAACTTATCTTGTGAGTTAACAGAAGGCCTACTGCTTTTGCTTCTCTGAGGCTAAACTAACTGAACCCCTACCAGAACCCCATCCGCTGCCAGTCTGTTCTGCCAACAGAACATGCTAATCTGTTAAATCTGGGACTTAGCTTGAAAAAGTTAATTACCAATACAGTCTATTCACCCCCCCTCTAGACTGTATCCAGTATAACCGGGACCAACACTCTCCCTCGAGAGAGCAGCAGAAACCTAATCTCTCTATCTTGCCTCTACACACTCTCAAGCCTCGAATTCTTTTCAATTCTTAGGGTTTCCATAAGTTAGCCCCCTTTTATAGGAGAAGTTGGCTAACTTATGGATTACAAAGAAGCTAATGGGCTGATATACATTTGTGGCCCATATTACACGTTTAACTAATAACTACACAACTACAAAGATATTTAATTAGATTGGACACCATAAAATAATCCTGACATTCTTTTCCATTGGATAGCGATATCATCTATAGATTCATGTTAGATGACCCCAAAATTTTTCTCTTCCATTGGGTTGTTGTACTTTTTTTTACTTCATATACTTTTCACTTTTTCCCCAACTTTTTCTACACTATTTATTACATCTACTATTTCGTCTTTAAATATTGTTCCAAAGTCTACTCTAATAATGTAATGATCTAACCAAAATATTATTGTAATATTACTATACAACATTATTATAATACTACGTATTACTTCGTATATTTTCGGTAGATGATATTGATTGATTGAAGCAAAAATCTTACATCTACTAAGATTTTTTTTAAGAAAATGCTTCGTAAGTTTTTTTATTTTTCTTTTAATTTCAGTTACTAAGAAGCATTTAACTGCAATCACCCTGCACCGTATGAGACTATAACTATTGCATCTTTCTCTATTTTCTTTTATTTTTCATTATTATTCATCTACTTCAATGTACTTGATGATGTGACTCTTTTGGGAGGGAAAATCACTTGACATTCCATTCCTTTTAGTATATAGTAAGACACCCGCGGCTCAGTTGGTTCAGTGGTGGGAAATTTGGACCAAGTGACCAAGGTTCGAAACCCGCAGCGGCCGTGTGGAGGTCACAGAATCTGAAATAAGGCTGGGCCTCTGGTGCGCACGGGAAAAAGGCCTACCATCATTGGGCCGACTGAGTCACCGTGATTAACATCATCCCAAAAATTCTGTCGGGTCGGGGTATGGGGGGCTCCTGGGGTGGGAGATTCCATTATTGGACCATGTATATAGTAAGACTAATTATTTGTGATTTGTTGTTCTAGCTTTCTTTTAAATTTTCCCCATTGTCAATTAATTTCCCTCTCATCTACCCTTCACGTATAGAGTATTTGTCATTTTTTACTTTACCCCAATTGTTTTAGTTTTCTTTATATTTCATTCTTTTTCTTTTTATCATAGATGGAATTCATAGATGGATTTGGAAGAATATGATTATGCATAAAGGAGAACAAAATAGTGATTGTGAAATTAAAATAGCAAGAAGAAACAAAAGAGGGAAGAAGAAAAAACAAAAAGGTAACAAGAGAAAAAGATATGAGCCCGTTTGGTAGCATGAAAATCGGCTGATTTGGCTGATTCTGCTGAAATTTATGAAGTTCTGGCTTAAGTGGCTGCATTGGCTGATTCTGGTGATTTAAGAAAAAAATATTTTTAAAATACTTTTTATTTATAAAGTAAAGAAAAAATTATATGTAAAAATACCTAAAATGGTCATCTACAGTAACTTCGGCCAATACAGCCAGAAAAGTAACTCCAACCTTACTTTTTGTGCTTATTACACAATTCAGCGCGCGAAAGCAAAAGTTTCGTGTTTGGTGAAAAAGTTGGTTGATAAGCCTGATAAGCCGAAAAACAGTGCTACAAAACGGCCTCATAAAGTGAAAATATAACAAAAGTAGAGTGTGAAAAAATCTTTATAGAAAAAGAATGATTACAAAGTGAAACACATAAAACGTAAAATGAAATAAAAATACGTTCCCCTCAAAAAAGTGAAATACTTAAAAAGTAAAATGAAATAAAAATACGGGAAAAAGAAAAAGATAAAAATAAATAAAAAGGTGGGAAGGGTTAATTTAAAAAAACTTTTCTAATAGAGTGAGAAATAGAATAAATAAAGGTGGAAAAGAAATAAAAACAAAAAGATTGAAAAAAAAGTGGCCAGGGATAAAGTAAAGAAAGAAAAGGGAAAATTCCCTAAATAGGAGTAAAAAAGTTTGAAAATTCCAAAATAGAACTGCCATTTTTTTATTTCCAAAATAGGAGTAATTACTGCCAAGTTTGAAAAAATACTGTCATGTTTAAAGTCTAGTACTGCCAAAACATGACAATAATTAGTCCAATTTTGGGAATAAAACCAATATAGTCCTATTTTGGAATATACACACGTTTTTAGTCTTATTTTGAGTAATTTCTACAAAGAAAAATATACTCCCTCCATCTCCCAATTAAGTTACCATTTTTCTTTTTGGGCAGTCCCTAAATTAAGTTCACACTTCCTTACTTTCCTTACTTGACAAATTATCTACATCAAAACAGTGTCAAACAGTGCCAAACAGTGTCAAACAGTGTTTGAACAATGCAAAACAGTGCACTCCACAGTAATGTCAAATTTATTTTCTTAATACGTGTGAAGTCAAACCGTGAACTTAATTGGGGGACGAAGAGAGTAAAAAATTAAGGAAATTAAGGAAATAAATTTGACTTTACTGTAGAACACACTGTTGTGGCACAGTTTGACACTGTTTGACACTGTTTGACACTGTTTTGATGTAGATAATTTGTCAAATAAGGAAGGAAGAAGAAGTGTGAAGTTTATTTTGGACCTACACAAAATGGAAAGCACGCAGTTTAGAGAACAAAAAAAAAAAAAAAAACTTGGCACTTCGTCTCTGCCATCGTCAGCGTTGGCTTCATCGTCAAGCATTCAAAGTTGGCTCTTTCGTCGAGCAATTCGACATCTTCCTCTGGATCGGCAATCAATCCTGCGGAACGGAGTGATCATCTGAACCAGCTAAAAGGTGCCATCTTGATTTGTTTCGTAGATCTTCGTCGCCTGTTTCACGATGGACGACTCTTTTAGCAACCTTCCCAGCAGCCACCTGCTCGGCTCAGTCCCGGTGAGCACTCTTCGCTTATTGACATGAATAAGGCGTCATATGATTGTAACTAAAGTCAACTTTAAGGCTTAGCTCCGGAACCTATGCATTTTTTGTCATTAAATCACTGCAATTCGTGGCGATTGCTTGAAATGTAAGGAAATTTCAACGATATAGCATCAAAGTTTAGTCTAAGTTGAATCTTTTTAACTGTTGTTGCGGTATTTATTGTATTTTGGATTAATTTCTGATCATTGAAATGAGACGCTTATTGTTAGACCGTTAGACGTTTGCTCTCTCGGAAGAAGAGGATGGGATTTGTTTTCTGAGTGGAAAAGAACAAATTTCAATAGACAGGGAAATAAAATTAAAAATACAAATAACATGTTCTAATCTTTGTCACTATAAAAATCACATAGAAAAGAACAAATTTCAATAGACAGGGAAATACGTTCTTATATGGAGTTTGTTATTGTTGCTTATAAAGGTTTGAGCTTTAACAATACCAAAAAAGGACAAACTCGGAACTGGAGAACAAGTTATTTAGTCATCAAATATTACTAATATTTTTAAAAGACAAGAGTGACAAATTATTATAGCCACTGCATTGTTTGAAATTTTAAAATTGATTGTGATCACAAGTTCACAACTAGAGATTCCAACCAAATCCTTCAAAGTGATAAATTGATAACCATAAACAAACTCCAGTAACCCATTAGGCCATTACTAGCTTGGTTGAAGTTGGCCTTTCGTGCCGGTTGAAACTTATCCTAGAAGGAATTTCGCTACCTTTGGACCGTTATAGTTATGGTTACCATTAACCTGGTTTTCATTCGCCAGCTCTCCTTAAGCTTCTGCACTGGGCCGGCGTCATCTCCCTATACATGGTCTTACATTATGGAGACATGTGTTTTTGGGAAGTAGTTGCCAGGGCCTGGTCAGTGTGAAATATCTGATATACAGACTTCTCTGGTTTGTTCTTGGGTATATAGAAATGGCATAAGATAATAATAAAGGTTAAATGCTGAAGATGAACAAAAACCACCAATCATGGCATCAAATGATTTTTAGCATTAGTAAAATATAAATATAATACTACGTATAGTACTTGTACTTTTTTTCTTTAAATTTTGAGTGGCCCAATAAACTTGTGATTCTGAGTATACATAATACGTCGTATATAGTATTATATTATATACTGTGTGTAGTATAGAATAATACATATGCTAGTAAGTATAAAAGATCTGGGGGAGCTATGGTCCACTAGTGGCTCCACCACTGGGTTAATCTCGAGTGTTAGCCTGCTTGACCACTCAAAAAGATAGTAATGAATAAATGTAGCATAATGCTTATATTTTTAGTAGTTTGGATCGGTGGAGTTGTTCTAGGCTGACCTTTTGTTGAAACTTGTATTGTACAAATATGGTTTCATGATACATGGTAATTTTCAGTTTAGTATGAGTTGAGCTCATGATTATTTTGTTTTAATATAATCTATCTAATTCTGAATTTTGAATTCCATATTTCATTTATGATGATGATGATGAAATATTTCATTTATGAATTTGAACTTATTATGTGAAATACTGAAATGTATTCGGTATGTAACTTGTCTTGTATTTTATTTTGCACTGGGCATCTTGAAATGACAAGAGTATGGGTGATATTGTCAGGAAATAACACAACATTCTGTTTCCAATTTGAAAGTAAATGCTAGCATTGATCAAGATTAGGTTAGGAGGTTTTTAATTATGTGCTCTATAAGAAAAATTAAAAATGATTGCTCAGTTTGCAGCTGTTTATAGTTCGCATATTTTGATGTTTTTTTATCTCACGCAGGCTGTTATCACTGAAGAAAAAACTAACAACAAACACAATGGTATGTTTGGAGTTGGGACTACTTGGGACTGGAAATGTCTTTCTGTTCTGTTTTGATAATTTCTATTAACAGACACTTGTTAATTTATTCCCTTAAATGTTTTACAGTACCTGAAGCGAATTTACAGATATTTCCTCCAGATAGTGGTGGGAATGCTGGCCAGGGTTATCAAAATGTTGGAGGTTCAAGTGGTATGCATCACTTAAATTGATAGCATGATTAAGTGCTCACTGAAATTACTGCAGACCCAAATATTAATTTTAGGTTAGCAGGTCATTTTAAAGCAGTAGAAATACTCTAACTAGCACTTGGATAAAGGAAAGAAATTAAAGGCGTTAATCCTATTGTTAACCTGCTAAAGTGTTAACTGCATACATCAAGGCTTGTACTTATATAACATATCACAAATGAAATGAAGTTGAGAACTAAATGGGTTAAAAGATAACATCTTAGGCATGCGTCACTTGACTTCCCATAATTGCAGACCAGATACGTATTGCTGTGACTTTTTTGCCCTAATCCAGTTTCCACATAAGTTGTATTTTGTTTTTGGTCTCATTATGTTATTTTGGTTTACTTTTTGGAGGTCCCTTGTGTCCTCTTCTATCGATAACACAATCAAGTGATGAGTAATAATCAAGTGAATGCCATATCTTGAAAGTAAATTTACATTTAGTAATCATGGGAGAGCACAAGGTGAGGTAGAGGGAGACACATTTATGAACAAAGGTGTTGGATTCTTCACTATTTCTCCGTCCTATAATGTTCCTCTAACTTTCTCTTTTTGATTGTCCAAAAAATCCTTGTATTTTATTTTGAGGAATGAATTGTGTGGTAGATATTGTTTATTTTATTTCTAAGTAAATCTTAATTATAGAATTTCAATTTCATAGTCCACATGCTAAAGCAAGTAAGGACATTATGGGACAAATGGATTATTAAAAAGGGTAGCTTCTGGCTCAAATTCTCAGGGGGCTGGCTTGTGTCTGTAGGTCCATGGTTAAAATCCCCCTCTTTGCAAAAGAAACTGTGCTTGAGCTTTGCACCGAGTACACTAACACTTTAAAAGTTTAATGCTTAGGTTCTTGAACATATTCACTGAATTCAGTCAGTCGACTTAGACCCCCCCACCCTCAAATTTGGTTTTATCATGGTGATGTGTTTTCCAAACATATTTATGTCCTGCTATTATGTGACCCAACTCATTCATCTAAGTGAGGGATCTTTCTTTTTCACAAGTGTTGACGAGCATATTATTCAATAATGAGATGTTGACAGTAGGATACCCTCCCCATTTATCATATGTATTCCCAAATTCATTCTTGGCCCATTTAGTTGATCATAGATCCCTATCTCGCCCAAAAGTAGTCTCTCTGTGCTTTAGCACAGGGGTAAAACTGCGTACATCCGACCCCCCTTACCCCACCGTAGGTAGCCTTTGGGGCACTGGGGTAATGATGATGATGATGATCCCTATCTCGCCCAGAAGTACCCGAGTTTGGCCCCTTCAATGTTTCTTGTCACATTTTCCAGATACCCATTTGAACCTGTTCCATATTAGAACCCAAAATAGCTAGGTATTTTCAATAAGAAAGGATCACTTATTGATCTTATTGCAAAACGGAAGTTCAAAACTCCATAAATAAGTCTGAATCACTAGTTGACTGTTTATTCTTAAGAGTGAAGTAGTTTAGTATAATTACTTTAGGCGTTATTAATTAAATTTGTGCTGGGTTAAGAGAAGAGGATACCTACCACCCTAATTTCAAACCTTATATAATTTCTCTTATCCGTTCCAAATCCTATTAGAGGTTTTTAAAATGAATTTATTAGGGTAGGACTGCTCAGTCCTAAGTAACCTCTTGCATTCAGCCCTTTGTCCCATTGCCATCATCTGTTCAGTATTTGAATTTCCGGACATCAAGTTTTCAGCTTGGAATCTAAACCTGAATATCTCATGCAGGAGGGGATGAGCAACAAACAACAAACAACTGGAAAGGAGTACTAAGAATCTCATCATATGCTCAATATTTTAATGTAGATACAGATGTCGTCTTGAACAGATTGATGAGCTCTTTAAATCCTACAAATGGAGATTTTTTCAGCATGATTGATGCTAACCCTGATCTGTAAGTTCAAAATTCTTGCACGGCTTGTATCTAAATATGATATACACAATTCATTTGAATTCCATTTTGCATTCATATTTCAGCTACGGTCTAATCTGGATTGCAACAACATTGGTATTTGTCATTTCCTCCTTTGGAAACTGTGCCACATATGTGATGCACAAAAGAAGTGAAACTAGTACATCTTGGACCTTCGACGTCAGCTATGTGAATGTAGCAGCATGCTCAATATATGGTTATTTACTTATTGTTCCACTAGGGTTTTACTTCTTGCTTCAGTATCTTGGTTCAAATGCTAGCTTGGTACGTTTTTGGTGCTTGTGGGGATACTCCTTATTCATTTTCATTCCCACTTCGGTAAGTCTATTATATTTTTATCATTATCTGCGCTCCATTGATAATGAACTCTGGCAACAATAAAGGTTATACTATCGTATAATGGAATATACTGTTTTCACACTAATTTATGCCTTTTAGGGCTAAGTATGCATTGTTTTTATTCATAAAAAAAAGAAAATAAATTGTTCAAAATAACAGTGAAACCTGGATAAAGTTCAAACTTAGGACTAAGAATGTTTTATTCACAAAATAGGACTTATATAGTCTTATTAAAAGAATAAAACAATAATAAATTTCTAAAATAGGAGAGAATATGTCCTATTTTAAGAAGAAAACAATGAAACTCCTATTTGAGGAAATGTGCTATGTTATGTTACTATTTTCCGAATTTTCTTAAAAAAAGAGAAGAAATAGGAGTGGTTTAAGCATTGTTTGTGTAGTATCTTCTTTAAATATTCAAGAGATTGATTTGGGAGAGGGAGTTTAAAAAGATGTTTTGTTTTGCTCAATGGAGGAGAAATTATAATTTAGAAAATATACAACAATTTTGGATTTCATATAATTTTTTCTGTAATTAGAGATATAATAGCCTATATGTATAACAGTATAACAACGATAATAATAATGTAGAACAATTTTGATAAAAGAAAGACTACTAAGAAATTTAGAAAAATAAAACTCTGAAGTGCATAAAGTTGGGGGTTTGAGATAAGAGGAATTTGTAGGAGTCTATAGCTTCTCTCTCCACTTTCCCTCCAAAGCCCTCCAACCAAACAAGAAGCTTACAGAGTTACAGTTTGATACAAAGGGATGTATAAGAATTGATGAAAATTGATCAACTTTGAAATTTCGGGATTTGAAACCGATGCAGATTTCATCCTCATCATAATGTATACCAGGAGGCCTAACCTGAACTTGTTTGTATTCATATTTTCCAAACTACCATTTTAAAAGGGATTTCAATGTTACATAACTGTTACATCAAGGTACAAATACGGGCGTCCATTTATTTTGTATAATATATATTGCAGTTTTTGTTGATGATCCCTGTGGAATTTCTAAAGTGGGTGATCATGTTGGTAGCCGGGGGTGTATCAGCTGCCTTTGTTGCATTAAATATTAAGAACCGCCACATACAGCAACCAAATGAACTTTCTATAGTGCTGCTTGCTGCTTTTGTTCTCCAAATGGGTCTCGCGATCTTCATCAAGATGTGGTTCTTCCCATAGCCCTTAATTTGCCACTAGACCATTTCTGGAACAATAACTATTTTCAGCAGTTTGCATAGTTATAGATTCACTTGCGGCGTTAATTATAGTCTAGAGAAATTTATCATGTTTTAAAGGGTTTATGCGCTTCGACGACATGCTTCTTGAGTTCGTGGTCTTTGAGGGACTGATTTGATTAAACATCATTGTAATACGAAAACTGATCGGGTTGAAGAAAGTATTTTCCTACAATCGTCTGCAATCTGCATTGCAAGTGACAAGTACTTTGACTACTTTATGTGGAATTATTCTCCATCCAGAGCTGTAAGAAATGCTTTACTGTTACCAAATCTTGATCATTTTCCCATTCACATGTGTTATTGGTGCTTATGGGATATCCACATCTTTTTTCATTTCTTTTCCATTTAATCGTCTTATTTTGTACTTCGTATTTCTCTATTCTCATGAAGTGGCCTCGGTTCTTATATTTTTTTTTTGGCTTTTCCTAATTAACCCCCAACCCTCCCCCCTCACCCCCAAACCACCTCAAATGGCCCATCATACCCGACCCAACCCAAAAACTTAAAAAAAAATCAAAAAAAAAAAAGAAAAAAAATTGGCCCGAACCGGGCCAGAACCGGCCGGGCCGGTTCACGATTTAGGAGGCCCGGGCCCGGCCCACCTACCTCACCGGGCTGGGTGGCCTGAACCAGGCACCAACCGGTTCACCGGGCCGGTCCGGGCCCGCACAGTAGCGGGCCGGTCCGGGCCCGCACAGTAGCGGGCCGGTCCGGGCCCGCACAGTAGCGGGCCGGTCCGGGCCCGCACAGTAGCGGGCCGGTCCGGTTCCGGGCCGGACCCACTCCTATAATGCCACCTGGCTTACAATACAATTTGTTAACGTGGAATAGCTATAAAAAAGATCTGAGATAGTAACATGCATTAGAAGGAAGGCATGATTCGCAGATCGTTTACAAAAAGAGATCTCATAATTTCTCTTAGTCTGAAGTAAATATCGGATATCATCTGTGATCAGATAGGAGCGTCCCCCATCGTCACAAATTCCTCGAACAATTACCTTAGGCTTGGACTCGGTTTGGGCCACCCGGTCCGGGAACCGGCCCGGCCCGGTTCTTCGGGCCCAAAATCGGTCTAAGGCACGGTTATTTATCTAAAGCAGGGCGGGCTCGGGTGGGTAAAAAGGAGGTCGGGCCCGGTTCGGGCCAAATTGATTTTTTTTTTCATTTTTTTGGGCTCCACCCGGGTTGAGCTTGATGTTTAGGAGGGGTGAGGTGGGTGAGGGGGGGGGGGTCAGGGATAGGTAGGTAAGCAAAAAAAAAAAAAACCAAAACCGAGGCCCCGCCCGAACCCGGACTGGACCCGGTGGCTACCTGGCCCGGACCGGACTCGGTGGCTACCCTGCCCGGATCCGGGCCGGACCCGGTGGCTACCCGGGCCAGTCACGGGCCCACCTATCCACAACCGCCGGCCCGCTCGGGCCTAGGCCCGACCCGGACCCGGCCCGGCCCGAGTCCACCTCTAAATTACCTGTGCATCAGATTCGATTTCCACATTTTCCCAGTTCTCAACTTCTCATCGATAGAAGCTTTAATGGCTTCGCGAATCCCCACCGCTTCAGTTTCCGTCGGGGTCCATTCTGCTTTGCATGAAGCTCCCCCTGCCTTCACAAACTCACCTTGATCATTCCTAGCAAGCCAACCCCGTGCTCTTATTCCTTGTCCAGTGTCTACCGATGCATCCACATTAATTTTTATGCCTCCCAGATCAGGCCGCTTCCATTTCGAGACCATGCTTCTCATATTACCACTCGGCTTCCCCACCACCTGTTGCGCCTCATTCCATGCCTATTGCATACTTGCGCAACAGTTAATAACGCTAGCCGCACTCTGCCATTCCTCCTCCCAAACAAAAGAATTACGACGCTTTCACAGACCCCAAACCAGCATGGCTATTTTACGTCTTTTTTCTTTGTCCGGCCCGGTTAGCATGCTTTGAATCCAGGTCTCTAGTGAATCCTCCCCTCCGCCGATATTCACTCCCGCTTCCATCCATACCTCCTTAGCCTTCGGGCAAGAGCTCAACGCATGCTCCGATGTTTCCGGTTCCTGCATACAAATTTCACATAGTTTGAACCGGCACCCCTTTGCGCTCCAGGTTCGCTAGTGATGGGAGAGAACCATCCAGAACTTGCCATACAAAATATTTTATTTTAGGTGGAATTTTTAGATCCCATAAATCTTTCCAGCCTGGAAATCAAAGATAATAAAGAAATTACCATTCTGGAAATCAAAGATAAATTGCTGAGCAAGATTAATTTCCAATTAGACTTAGGTCCCCAAATCACCCAGTGCCTTTCGGATTTTTCCAGTGCAAATTGCAAGCAACGCAAAAAATTTGGTCTTATCACGATTTCGTCTGCAAAATTTTGTAGGGTTGATAAATTCTTTGCAGGACGACTCTATTTCCCTTCAGCATCGCAGTCACAGTTTCGAAGTCGAGGAATATCCATCAATCTCTAAATTGATCTTTAATTCCCAAATCCAGGAATCATGTACCGAGAATCAACAAGTCCACTCTCCTGACAGACAACCCCAACTGTCATTGAAACAAGCTTACTTGGACGCCTCCGACGATTTCGATCATTCCAATGACTCGTTCTTCTCAGATGAATTTTTGGGACATGCAACCGAAAGTGATCGTCGCCCTCCTATTTCTAATCAGGATGAAATCAGGAGATCCAAATTCAACAAAGCGATTTGTCGCAAAGCTAGCTTCGTTAACTCGGAAAACTGTATACCAACAAAAAACCTGAACACGCAACTAAGGATTTACAGGAAATCTCAGAAGAATAAGAGACGACACAACATGAGTACAAGATCTCAGACCAGAGATTTCCCTTGGGCTTAATTTTACAATTTTGTTTCCTTTTTTTGTATTTCTATATTGTTTTCTCGCATTGTACTACTTTTTTGTCATCAATAAAATCTGCTTTTCCAAAAAAAATCTTTCCAGCCTGCCCATGCCCCGTCTCCCACTCCATGCATCAGTGTTCTGTAACAACTCTTAACAGAAAAATTACCATTATTTTCTTTGCTCCACCAGAGACTATCCTCCATATCATGAATGGAATACTGGAAATAATCTTTCTTTCCTCCTCATTAAAAATAGCTCCTATTCTGTCCGTATTCCAATTTCTGCCCATACTATCTCTCAATGCCGCAACATTCATATTCACTATCCCGGGTGGTTTAGAACACGCCCCATCAGATTTCCGGGCGAAGATAGAAGCCGCCAACCTTGTTTAGCCAACATAGCAAGATTAAATTCCTTCAGCTTTCTAAAACCCAGCCCGCCAAGCCCCTTCGGCTTACATAAAAGCTCCCACCTTCTTCACCTGATTCCTCTCTGCTCGAATTTTGTGCCTTTCCACCAAAATCCGTTCATAAGTTTTTCAATCTCGTCGCATAAATCCCTAGGGAGCAAAAAGACATGCATCGCGTATGTGCGCATTGCTTGCACTACATTCCGAAGCAGCACCGCTCTACCTGCTCGAGATAAAAATCGATTGTTCCAGCTTTTAATTCTCTGGACAATCCTATCTCGAAGAAAACCAAGAATAGCTGATTTTCCCCTTCCAACTAGGCTCGGCAATCCAAGGTAACGCTGATGGCCCGCGTCCTGCAAAACACCAAAAAAATTACAACACCTGTAATTTTTAAATTCCTCCTTAATGTTGGGACGTCATAGTGGACTTGGTGAAGTTAACCGCCTGCCCAGAGTTCTTCTCATACTCCTTAAAAATTTCCTTCACCGCATTACACTCATTAGTATTAGCTTTAAAGAACACGAAACTATCATCTGCGAAGAAGAGGTGGGACACTCGTGGAGCTTCTTACAGACTGCCACCCCATGCAAATCTCCTCGTTTCTAGACCAGCCTTATTAGAGCGCTCAGACCCTTCGCAACCAGAATAAAGAGGTAGGGAGATTGAGGGTCTGTCATAGGCCTTACTCATATTAATTTGAGGGCTACAAACCCCTCTTCCCCATAATTTTTGCGCTTCGGGTAGTGTTGGGTTTCAAAAACCACAATGATGTTATCAATGATAGATCTTTCTGGAATAAAAGCACTTTGGCACTCCCCAACCAATTTATCAAGCAACCCCTTCAACCTATTCGCCAGGACTTTCGAAAAAATTTTATACACCACGTTGCACAACGCTATGGGACGCCAGTCTCCCATACATTCAGGTTTATCTTTTTTGGGAATCAGGACAATATTAGTGATGTTGATATTATCAGCTAATTTACCTGACTCAAACATATTAGCTTACAAACCCGATATTTCTGGGCCTACAATATCCCAGTAAGTTTGAAAGAAAGCCGGGTTCGTACCATCTGATCCTGGTGACCTCTTCGGGTGCATATCAAAGACCGTCGCTTTAACCTCCTCCGGGCTGATTGGCTGCACTAGAACATTCTTTTGGGCCTCAGTCACTCGTGTAAATTCCCCGCAAATTTCCGTCACCCGGGTCCGCTCCGATACCTGAAACTAAGACAAAAAATAGTCTGTGATCATATTTCCCAGCTCGACCCTGTCCGTGCACCACACCCAATCTGCCTTCCGAAGGCCAGGTAATTTATTTCTCCTTTTGCGCTGTTTGACTGCGTTATGGAAAAACCGAGAATATATATCCCCTTCCCTCAGCTAGAATTCTTTAGCTCTCTGCTTCCGGAATACATTCTCCTTTTCCAGCAGGATTTGAAGCACCGTCCGAACTCTCAGAAATTCCATAGCACTAGTACGATCCTCCTTCCCACGTAACCATCGCGACCGCTTTTTACAGGCCATAATGTGATGTCGGAATCCCCTTTTTCTGCCCCTATCCCACCTCAGAAGAGCATCCCCACAAAAAAAAAAAAATTCTTTCACTAATAGCCATGGTGGCTGCTGCCCCCAACTATTAGAGACTACCAGCCTGCATTCTTTTTCCTTTATCTAATTGTTTTCGAATTTAAACCTCTTCTTCCTATTGTTTGGGATAGTAACTCTAACCTTCATCACAAGAGCCATATGATCACTGGCCGATGCTTCTACAGAGCTTGCCTGGCCTTCCATAAATGTGTCCCACCACATATCCTTGACAAGAATACGGTCCAACTTTTCCTCCACCCAGTAATTTGTGCCCTTACCTCGATCCCACGTCCATTGATACCCGGAGAATGGAAAATCCCTCAAGCCGCAAGAATGGACAGCCTCCTGAAAACCCCGGATCCGCCACGGGGGATGGGGGATACGACCCTTCTTGTCCGAATTAAACAAGATATCGTTGAAATCCCCAATCATCATCCATGACCCACTGCTCCCCCATCGCCAGTTCCTCCATCAAAGCCCATGCGTCTCTCCTCCGTCTTGTTTCTGGGAAGCCATAATAACTGGTTAATCTCTGAGGTACCTCATTAACCTGCAATTTAACATGGCAATCAATAAGCGTTTTTCCTCCCTGCACTATGTTCACTTCGACATCTCCCTCCAACCGAGCACCAGACCGCCGCTCGTCCCTTCACTGTCAACGCCGAATGCCTCATTGAAGCCCTGATTTCGTAGAATATCCTTCGCCCGTAAGTAGCGGACCTTTGTTTCCATCAGGAACACAATTGACGGGCGGTGACATTGGATTAAATCTGCTAAGCACTGAATCGTAGCCGGATTGTCTAGCCCCATGCAGTTCCAACTCAACACACTCATTGTTGCTCTACTGACCTGCGATCAATCACCCAAAGTTCTCCTTCGTCAAGCGAGCCACACCCCCCGATCGCTGGCACAGATTATCGCCCACAAATCTCCTTCGCCAGACTAGCCACGCCGCCGGAAGACTCCTAGGAAACCCTAGACACGACCGCTTCTTGGAAGAAAAAAATACAACCATAAATAGAAAATTTATTTGAAAATAAAGAGTTTAATTTAATCTACGTTTAAACACATATTTGCAAGCATTAATAAATTTTTAAACTTAAAACACTGTTTAAAATTCTTTGTTGTCTAGGCGTCTATGATATATTTAAATTTAAGATGGACTAAGTTCGCTTAGGGGTGTTTGGATATACTTTGCTTCTGCTTCTTCAGGGAGCAGAAGTATATATTGGAATGTTTGGGTGAAAGTGGATAAATACTTCTGAGTGCTCCAAAATGCCTTTCGAAGCAGTTTTTTTTAGAAGTTGGAGGAGATCAACTTCTGAAAAATTGATTGTTATTTTACTTCTGCTTTTAAAATAGAAGCAAATGAAGAAACAATTTCAAACACCCTTAATCTTATTTAAATCTGCTTGAACGTGGTTTGAGAATGCCTAAAGTCCACATAGCACTTTTAGAGAATTGTTTAAAACGTTAAGCAATACATGAGTAGAGTCTGATTCCGGTGGGAGTATTTCTTCTCGTGAGAAATGAAAACGCTCTAAAATGATGCACACTAGGGTTTACAGAGGTGAGCATTTATAGGTAAAATAAGAGAAATTTATCCTACCCGCACGGGTAGCTCAGTTGGTTCAGTGGTGGGAAATTTGGACCAAGTGACCAAGGTTCGAAATCCGCAGCGGCCGTGTGGAGGTCACAGAACCTGAAATAAGGCTGGGCCTCTGGTGCGCACGGGGAAAAGGCCTGCCATCATTGGGCCGACTGAGTCACCGTGATTAACATCCTCCCAAAAATCTTGTCGGGTCGGGGTATGGGGGCTCTTGGGGTGGGAGATTCCACCTTTTGGACCAAGAGAAATTTATCCTTCATATGACTAATAGTGATTAACTTTCCTATATATAATACTTCATCCGTCTCTTTTTAGTTGCAACAGTCAACATTTCACGTTTGCCAATGCACAACTTTGACCGCCATTATATTTAATTATGTATTAGTAAAAATAAAATAAAAGTCAGATTATAAAACTTAGTAATGAGATGAATTTAACAATATTTTTCAAAAAAATAATTCACATACATCAATAAATAAAATGTAGCCAAAGTAAAGTATATGAATATTGTCTATATATTAATACAGAGGATAGTATGACTTCAATGTTTATTTTCGCAAACTCTAACTAGTACACATGCATGCCCATGATATTTATTATGGGAGGAGCTACGTCCGGCCATGTTATTTGTTGTGGGGGCAGGATTTTGTTTGACTTTTTAGTCATATGAATGACTAAAAACAAGTCTAGTCATATTTTGGGAATTTTAACAACTTTTACTCATATGTAGGATTTTTCCCTTAAAACAATGCAATGTTCAAATGTGTGCTTTGTGGTTAAAATAATGCACCGTCCAAAGGCACATTTTCTAGTTTATGATAGTGCATATTTCTATTTCACATCATGAGTGCACTATACTCAATTCAAACGCTCAATCATTCTCATTTCTCTTCTTAATTAGATCATGCTCTCATTTGAACCAAATTCTATGTGAATATTTAATACTACCTCCATTCATAAATAGATGCCACAGTCAACTTTTTATGTTTGCCAATGTTTAACTTTGACCATTAATATTTTATTTCTCTTTTAGTAAATTAAACATTCGGATTTTAAAAATTTAGGATGAAACAAATTTAATAATACATTTTTTAAAATACATTATTAATACATTAATAAATAAAACGTAGTCAAGTTAGAACATGTGAATAGTGCAAATTTCACATGTTACATTTATTTAAAAACGGAGCTAGTATATTTTTAGTAAAAGATAAGTATGATTTTAATGCATGAACCTGTTCTATGGATATACTCCGAAATCAATATTATCCGAAATACAAGTAGCTTGCGAGCATTTCGAATCCAATTTGTATATAATTTGAGTTTAATTTGATTTGGTCGAGTTGAATTCAAGTATACGTTAAATAAATTCAAAGAAGAATCAAATTGATCTGGGTAACTTGAAAATAGTATTGCAGGAGTAGCACTTAAACTATCAATACAATAATTCCTTCGTAATGATGCTTCCCTATTTTCTACTCCCTCCGGTTATGAAAGATCTTTACACTTTCCATTTTTAGCAGTACCAGAAAGATTTTTACACTTCCTTATTTGCCTTATTTGGCAAATAATCTATACAAAACAGTGGCAAACAGTGTCAAACAATGTTTATTTCCTTAAAAAATGTGAAATCAAAGTGTCAAGAACTTTTGAAACCGGAGGGAGTATTTGGATTGTTTCAAAATGATGTTTTCATTTTACGTAGTATTAAAAAATTAAAGTAGATTACCGTTTATACTCCTTTTTATGAACAATAAAAATAAAAGAATGAAAAGTGTAATAATGTATGATTACATGAGTCATTATATCCACTTCTTAACATTGAACCCAAAAAATATATGATCCTCAATTTTGGAGGGAGGGAGTAAAAGCAAATGGTAGGATAATGGAAAGTGTCCACCACTCCTCTATTTCCGTCACTTTTCTGTTAAGATGTGGACCAAAATGACACTTTACAAAATAAATGATACCTGTGTTCTTACACCTGATCTCAGAGTACTTTATTCGCATCGAATTCTGGATTTTAGTGACATTCTCTGTATAAGCTAGCTTTAATCGGAATTCTGGTTTATTGATCCTCATTCCTCACACATGTGGTGCAGAACAAGTACTCGTATAACATAGGCGTACTGATAATCAGATAGTACGGATTAGTAAACTAGTCAGATGATCTTGTCTTGTTTATGTTCATGGTAATTTAGGGTTTGTGTTTTGTGTTCTTGCTGTCGAAATCCCAGTGCAGTAGTAGCATCTCATGAGAATGATCTGAAGAAAGATATCACCTTTCTGTTCGTCTTCCCGGAGAAAGAGCACCTTCTCAAGAAAGATTCAATCTTGGTACAATATAGATACTAGGGAGCATTATAATAATAGAATAATACTGAGTATAAAGAGAGAGTATGATGGTTCTATTTGGGAGCCCGGGGACGGTGAGTGGGCTGTTTCTGAGGATAGGGCAGTGTGGGTTCGCTGCTGTGTCTATTGCTGTTATGGCTTCTGCTTCTGGTTTCTCTGCTGCCACTGCTTTCTGGTACTACATTCTCCTACTGATACTTTCCTTGTTCTAATTTCCTTCTTTTCTTAATTTTCTCCTACCATTCCTTATGACTATCACTTATTTAGTATCAGATTTTAATATGGGCTGTTTGATTCGATGTTATTCATGTAATTATATTGCAATATCACAATAAAAATCAAACCACTGAACATGTATTTTCAATGTTGCTACCTCTGATTGAAACGAGAGAATTGGGGATTTTATGGCCACTTCATATTTAGTCGGAAGATAAGTTGTTTTATTGCCAAGATAAGCTCTGTACCCTGAATACTTTGAATAACTGGGCCAAGTTGACTCTAGAACAATGTTTTTAAGGTCTCGAGTCATTCACAATTCAGTATTGTGCGATCGATCTTACAAGTCAAGTAGGATGAAATAATCTCGCCCATGGTCAGAATGGGGATATAGGCCCGTGGCTGGGATTGCCTCTCTGAATTCTAACGAAAGGTGGATCATCTATGAGAGTACAAATCATATGCACTGGGTCTAGTAGGAAAAAGTGTGTTCCTGTTTTAGAAACTCTTTAGATACTCTCCAAACACTCACTTCTCCATTAAAACGTGGCATTTCCCATTTCATGTTTTCCCATGCTTACCGCGTTTCTGTGCAACATAGGCTAGAGGTGATTGAGAATCTTGTTGGTCTTTCGAAGAGAAAAGGAGTGAGCAGTTGAGCACTAAAATTATCATGAACTCCATTTCCGAGAAGAACTCGAATAGAAAGCTATATGAGGCTATTTCTTTATAGAGACGTTGAGTTGCTCTGGCTTGAAGAGAATGAATTGTGAATGATTTTATAGGCTGAGTCTCTTATGCTACGTAAGTTTTTTCCATTCTTTCTTCGACCTGCATTGATGACCTAACACAGCATGCCTGATTCATGTCAGCAGAGTTTGGGTCTCGGTAGATGGCCATTTTTCTCGATTAGGAGCACAATCCAGACCGTTTCACACTACTCCACTCGTAAGATCACGTGATCTTGCCAGTCAACTCGCGATCTTAACTACATTGATTTGCGCACATATTAAGAAAGAAAGAAAGTTTTCCCAAGCGATGTTAAAAATACTAAAATATGACTATAATACTCCTACTAATGATTTAAAGCACTATTTAACATTTGTGGATGGGTAAGAGTTACGGTTGCAGTATTGCTCTCTTGATGTTCTGAAGTGACAATAAGTATTGAGGCAGTGTCTTTTTTCTCTGTCAAGCGAAAGTTAAATCAGAAAGAAGGGAGTACTTATGTTTTTGCTAAATAACTTCTTTATGTAGATCACTCTGAATTCAAAAGGTATGTTTCTTGGTAACTTCTTGTACTATTTCTTGTGATCTCGATATTCTTTGTTCAAATTTTATAGTTTGGTTTTGACACTTCCCTATGGTGTCCTTTCAAATACACTTTCTACTTGAACATATGCATACCGTGTAGTTTAGCTGTTAGTTTCTTTCCATAATCCTGGGTTCATTGCTTAGTTCTTGGGAATATTCACGACTTGGTGAGTCTTTTTACGCGCCAAGTAACTCATCATACTTAAATGGTTTTTGTGTGAAATCTGAATTATGAAATTAAAGATGCGGATACTATGTGATTTGAAATAAAAGTAGTCTTTTTTCATTAAAGGAAAAAGGAAGATTACAAAATATTCGACTAATGTGGTGGCTTTGTGTCTTGGTGAGTTCTTTGTGGTCTTCTTCACTTCATCTTCACCTACTTATTGCTAAGAATGTGTGTGGTGCAGAAGTAATTTGTTGTAATCAATTATCCTGGAAATTCTTTTGAGGATTAATTGAGGATATAAGTTAAAAACTAGGATTGGTTTAATAATGGATCTTCTTTAAATGTTTAGGATATATGCTAGTTAATGTAGATTATTATATTTTGCTTTATACATGTAAGACTTACTAGACTAATATTACTACAGTTTTGTTGCATATATTTTAAAAATGGTTTCCCGTACACCATCGAGAAATCGGTTCTACTCACTACTCGGCCCCAACCAAGTAGCCGCTGAGTACCGATTTAACTACTTGCTACTTAGTGTATAGATATGTTGGGAGTTAGAGTTCATTGTGATATCTGTGCTTTTACTTCAAATCATGCTTATAAAAAAGGGAAAAATAATATAATTACCCCAAACTTTGATGGGGTTTGAAAAGTTTTTTTCACACCATGATTGTGTTTTTCTTACAAATATAAATTTATTGGAATAATTACATAATTTTAAATACTCTAAGCTTTGTTAGGATGCAATTAACATTCTAAAATTTCATTTGCGAAATAAATAATATTACATCCGGTACAATTTATTTTTAATTGCATCCTCATAAATGTTTTTTGTATTCTACACTACGCATTTAACACCATAAATTATATTTGTGAAAAAAACATATGATCATGGTGCTAACATATTTTTTTATATAAAGTTTGGGGTATATATATTACATGTGCACGTTTGGGGTGCTTATCTCACACCACTTCAAAGTTTGGGATATTTAAATTATTTTTCCGTGTAAAAAAGGGGCAGCCCGGTGCACATTGGCATCCACGTAAGGTGATAGTCCAGGGAAGGGTCCCACACTCCCACCACTTATTTTTCCATTTCCATATCTTTTTTTTGCACACTCATGTAGATATGTTTATGCCGTAAAGCACACAATCTAAAGGTTGAAAACAATTAAGATGACTTTTATGTAACCCCCCCCCCCCCCCCCTAGATAATAGGTATTTGCTTTGAAATCTCATTTTGATTATTTTTCTTATGGAGTTGTGCTTGCTATTTGGATCAGCTATTTGATTGCTTCAATGGGGCTTCAAGTGTTATGGAGCTTTGCACTTGCGTGTCTTGATATTCATGCTTTGTGGTTGAAAAGAGATATGCAAAATCATGTTTTACTGAGCCTGTTCGTTGTTGGTGATTGGGTACGTACTCTTCCTGCTCTTGTAATTCATTTGCTTCTTAATGTTTATTTTCTGAGGTTAAGAATGGCATTCAAAATGACATGTCAACAGCTAATTTGAAGGGAGGGGGATTAGTTGTAGGCTCTTATTACTCTATACCTCATTTTGTTCAGGGATTTGGAGGGGAGGGTTAGTAGTGGTTTAACTAATTTTCTATCACCTGTTGTTAGTTATTACTATTAGATCAGAAGATTCAGAACATAACTATCTCCATAGTAAAATCATGTATTTCTTCATAAGTTCTCGTTTTCACCTCCCATCCAACCAACTAATGTAAGATTGAATTAATAAAAATATATCGCCCCTCAATACCCCCCCATCCAAACAAGGGGTATAGAACTACGGGTTGACGTGTTTTCTTGTAATCTTTCATCTGCTAGAAACTCAAGCATTACAGGTTTAGTGAAGTAGTTTTAGGCTCCGTTTGTTTCCAGGCAAGTATTTTCTGGATTCTCCCTTATTTGGTACAGGAAAAGATATTTACGGTAAAGGTTTTAGCAGAAAATGACTTCCCAGCTTTAAATAGTAAAACAACTGTTTCACCCATTTATGCATGCCAATTGCCAAACATTACTTTTGTAAATACAGCAACCTATTTTTTAGGAAAACATTTTGCATAGAAAATATTTTTGACAACAATTTAAGTTTTTCCTACAATCAAATGGAGCCTTAGCTATTCAAAGTTAACTCATGTTGGAATATCAAGAGACTCCTTAGCTGTATTTTTCCTCAAAAAACATGCAAGGGCTTGTTAAGTTGTTTTAAGATTAAGTAGACAGCATTTTTCCTACGACAAAGAACATGTGAATTAACTCTAAGTCAACAAAGTTAAAGAAAAAACATCCACTCATATTCGTAGATCAGAGTGTATGTGTTTGACCTGAATACGTACTCATTACTAGACTGGATCCTAACTGTGGAAGGCCAATTAGCAGATTAAACAAGTTTTAAGACAAGATTAGAAAATGATTTTAGGCCCACCAATCATATTCGTTTTAATGTTTTTTTTCCCAAACTAAAACAAGATTATGAAAATGATAAGAAGTGGTTTCAAATGTACACGATTCTTATGAGTAAGACTACTTATTTTATTCATTACACCACCTACATCATATATGAACTAACTCTGAAAATCATACAGCCAACAACAACATCCAAGCCTTATTCCCAAAAGATTTTTGGGTCGGCTAACATGAATCGATCCATGATATCATAAAGCAAAAAACTGGAAAGTTAGAAGTGATACCGAACAAGTACTTAGTGTTTGTTTGGTAGACCACCTTTTCTACATAACACTAACTTAATTCTGCTGGTAATGAAAAAGGTCATGATGAAGTTTGTATTTATTTATGAAGGTAAATGACATTTTGACCTTCATTGTAGGCATTATTATTTTAATTTATCTAAAAACATTAGTATTGGTTTCTATAATTAAATTTAAAGAAAAAACATATTTAAAAAATTCAGCATTTTCAAAGAAAAATTATCCTTACCAGATGGATTGGCCGGGTTTGCACTTAAAGTGGTGTTACACAATACATGCAGGTGACAACGACACTATCGCTGGCAGCAGCATGCGCATCAGCTGGAGTGGCAATCTTGTTCGACAGGGACACAAGCATCTGCCAAAGAATGGAAAAGCTGTCGTGCACCATGTTTCAAATATCAATAGCTATGGCATTCTTCGCCTGGTTTCTTCTCGCCCTCTCTTCGTACGTCATGTTCTTGCTCGTTGCTAGTGCTGCATCTCAGCATTAGAATGATTCATGCACTATGTAGTGATTCCTATCTCTCTTTGCATCAGTTATCAAACCATTTTTTATTGTTCTAGCTGAATCTGAATATATATTATACTACATGCATTTCGGTAACAATGTATAGACATTAACTTATTTTATGAAGTTTTTGACAGTATAGTATATATGTTTCCCTTTTCTGACCTGACAAACGGAGTTTTGTATCCTGGAAACTCCGCAGGACTCATGTCTTCGCAATTCAAAGGCGTTTCCCACTCGGGAAAATGTGGAAAATAATTCCATATCATATAATTGGTGATTGTTCTTGGTGGAGCAAGATGGCTGTTAAAGTACCAAGGTAGTATAGCTTAATAGGGATGCAATTCGATTCTGGTTGGGCAGACCCAATTCCCAAAGCATGTTTTCCATACCAATTGAGCGGGCCGATAAGATTTTGAAGACGCATTTTCCTTGTTTGCTTTGGTTGCTCTTTGCTTAGAGAACTTGTTTGGGGCACTCCAATGACTCAAGAACATTCTGGTTGTGCAGGCCCAACTCACAACACACCTTATACTCTAAAGCATCTCTAATGCAAAAGTGTGAACACATACATCACAGATTCACAGGAGAGGAATAGAGACAAAAGTTAATTACTAGAGTTTCTTTTTCTTTGATCAATATATTGCGTTTTTTCCTTTTTTACAATGTCAAGCGCAATTTTTTATCTAGATATTGTGTATGAGATGGTTGAGATTTGAGAATTGTAAAGATTAAGTTCTTGGAAGAAGAAGAATATAAGAGTTGAATCATCATTATCATCACTCCAGTGTCGCAAAGGCTGCCACCTACGGTGGGGTAAGGGCCCCCAGATGTACGCAGCCTTACCCGTATACTAAAGAACAAAAAGACTATTTCCGATGACCTTAGTGAAAATCGCGTCAAAAATTGTATGGGCTGATTACTACTTCATAACAAAGAAGCACAAATAGTTTAGTGAGCCATTTTGTTATGTTTCATCATATTTCCAAGCCAAAAAATAATGAGTTTTTGGTTTCATTGCCAATGATGGAAAAAGTTTAAATAAAGTGATTTTCAATAAAGGCTTTTCCTATATACTCCGTATTAACAGAGAAGTAAAAGTATGAATATATACTATTTTACTACGTACTATTTATAACATTATTTTTTGCTTGGTACTACCTCCGTCCCTCTTATATTGGGTCGGAAGAGAGTGACACGATTATTAAGAAAAGTGGGGTTGTGTGGTTGATAGTAATTGATAAAGTAAGAATAAAGTAAGAATGATTTAGATCCACACAAACTTTACGAAATATGGTATGAGACAATTTTAGTGGGGCTTCCCGAAAAGGTAAAACGGGACAATATAAGAGGGACGGAGGGAGTACTATTTATAACATTATTGTTTACTTGGTCGGTTTGGTCCTATTTCTTGATTTCTTTTATTTGGAGTCCTTGAAACTCTTGATGATGGGCATATATATCTATCATGTTCATCTTGTAAGTGAAGTCTTCAAAGAGTGGAGTCCGCAAGTTGAAAGTTGTTCATACTGGGAAGAAGATAAATAAATTATTAAGAATTTTCTCTCTAATAAGATGACGATCAAGTTCAATATGTTTAGTCCTTTGATGTTAAGCATGATTATGTGCCAAGTGATAAGTGGATTAATGATCTCTGTAAAGTGTAATGAGAAAACTGTTCATCAGATTAAAATCTTTTAGTAAAAAATACAATCATTGGGCTTCACAAACAACATTAGCAATACCCCTAGATTCTGATCTGGTTACAGATCTACTTATCATATTTTTTTTAAATTTCCAAGAAACCAGAGTCAAACCTGTAACACTTCTTCAGAAGTCTATACAACCTTCAGAGTCAGAATGACTATAACCTTTGAATTTAAAATCTGAATTTGCATAACAAAGAAGTCCATGCCGAGTGAATATAATTAGTTGGTTTAGAAAGAAATTGATCAAGAGTTTAAATAATAAACACTATATGTAATGGATAGTATTAGGTTAGTTACTTTTAGGTATAAAAGTTCACCAATAAAAGTTCTATAAACTTTAGGGTCAAGGAGGGGATTGCCCACATTTTGAGAGATTTTATTTTTGAGTCCACAGGTGTAGTAAAAGGTTTAGAAGTAAGATAGCCATGTCTACAAAGAATATCTAAAGTATATAGAAAAATTTGCCCAAAATGGGACATGAATTAAAGAATGAGATTAGTAGTATATGTAATATGTTCACTTAAAATTTAAGAATTTTGTAGTACAGAGTATTTATTTAAAATTGAAAGTGGCGTTTGTTATGTGCTTTATTTGGTTTTTACTTTTTAGTTTTGTCATGACGTAGTGGTCTAAATGCATTGCAAAGTTATCTATACATCACGTTCAAGCAAGAGTGACTTAGATATTTTTACTCGGACTAAAAGTTTGGTAGATGTATGATCTCTGTGTATCGGACAACTGTCAAAATTTGATGTGTTCTATTTAACTATGTTCTGGTCTAGCCTGATCTGGACTGAAATCAATTCAACTAAAAACGTTCTTACTTGGTTTCAATCCCAAAGTAGACTAGACTTAAACAGATCATGCCAGAATAGACCATATGAGACCAAACCAAACTTTAATAGTTATAAAGTACACAAAATAAATATCTACCAACAGACTTAAATAATCCTTTAATTTTCTTGAAATTGGGCAATGACTATCGTGCCTTGCGCGACCAAAAGCTAGTATAAATTTTAAAGTTTAAATTTCCAATGTAGGACTAACTTTTCCTATTCAACCATTTCCCTTGTCATGCTTTATACGATTTTTAAATAATAATAATAAAATATAAGAAATTTAAAAAAGTAAAAAATAAATATAAATATACAAGCCAACTACATTTTTATGTGGGAAAGATTTTTAATTGTTGCGGAGTATTTTTTGTTTATTATTATTTTATTTTTCCAGGATTTATTATTAATTCATGGTGCCTCCACAAATAATCAAACTATACATAAACTCATTTGTATTTTTTATTACAATAAGTAATTATAAAATTTTCATTCCGGAGATTTCCCGAAATAGTAGTAAATGGAGTTTGGAATTCCCAAATAGGACTACTATGTTTTTATTCCCGAAATAGGACTAACATGGCAGTATAAAGTATTTACTGTCATCTTGTGCTAGGTGTGACTGCCAAATAGTTGCAATACAGTGCATTTAACACGACAATATTAATTATAATTAATGACAGTATTTTTCAATTATGACATTATTTTTCATATTTGGTAGTAACAACTCCTATTTCGGGAAGAAAAACATAGTAGTCCTATTTTGGAATTCCAAATCTCATTTACTCATATTTTTGGTAATTTCCCAAATAACTTTGTAGGATTCAACATTTTCGAAAAATAAGAGTACAATAATCTAATACCATAAAGTATAAATTCATACAATACATATTCAATGAAGATCGAGTATATAAGGAAAAATTAAGTGACAACACTCATTAAAATTTGCAACTTATTAATTTTCATGATTAAATTAAATTTAAAATTAAATACTATTCTAAAAAAGTGAGTACAATAAGTGAGTGACATAAAGTTTCAGTGAAAACAATAAATATTAAAATTAATGAATATTTCTTACGTATTAGTTAAATAAGAACTTGCTACTCATTATTTAAATTAGTGCTAACATAAGAGAGAGAGAAAAGTATACTCCGTAATGATCAATTCTTAGCCAGTTTATCTTATACCTAACAACATTATGTATGAGAGAGAAATTTCTACTGCATAATTATTATCCGGCTTATCTTACACTTAATAAACAACATATATGAGAATTTCTCTGCTCAGTTGTAAGCAAGTTTATCTTCTGATACCTAAAAGCACCACATATGTGAAAGAAAATTCTTCCGCTCAATAATTAGCAAGTTTATCATGTTATATAAAAAACACTGCATATGAGAGAAAATTCTCTCGTTCAATTATATTGTTAGTCCACTTGTGTTATATCGAAAAGCATTACTATGGGAGAGAACGTACATTTGTGTGCTCAATTGTTAACCGCATTATCTTATACTTAAAAAGAACTACATATGAGAGAAATTTCTCTCACTCAATTATTAGCAAATTTATCGTCTTAGTTTCTAATGTGCAAGAGCAATACATATGAGAGAAAGTTATCTCGCTCAATTGTAGGCGTGTTATCTAATACCTAAAAGCACTATATATGAGAAAAAAAATCTCTCGCTCAATTGTTAGCAGCGTATCTTCTAATATCTAAAAGCACTACATGAGAGAGAAAATTCTCCCGTTCAACTATGAGCAAGATTATCTCCTTATACCTAAACCCTTACATATTAGAAGATAATAAGCTAAGAAGATAAACTTGCTAACAATTGAGTAGGAGAATTTTCTCTCTCATTTGCAGTGCTTTTTAGTTAAATAAATAAGAATTTGTTACTCATTATTTAAATTAGTGCTAACATAAGAGAGAGAAAATTATATATAATGCTCAATTCTTAGCCAGTTTATGTTATACCTAACATCATTGTGTATGAGAGAGAAATTTCTAGTGCTTAATTGTTATCCGGCTTATCTTACACTTAATAAACAACATATATGAGAATTTCTCTGCTCAGTTGTTAGCAAGCTTATCTTCTAATACCTGAAAGCACTATATATAGGGGTGAGCAAAAATATCGGAAAATCGATATACCGCACTTACCGTACCGAAAAATATAAAAAATTACCGTAATATTGGTATACCGTCATTTTCGGTACGGTATCATACCATACCGATTTATTTCGGTACATGTTTTCAAATACCGCGGTATACCGGTATAATATCCTACCGACTACCTACCTAACAATTATTACTTTTAATTCTAGAGTATTGTAAAACTCCATTACAATTATGAAGCCCAAAATTAATACTTACGTTGGTTACAAATCTCTAATGACTAATTAGTAATGTACTAATGTCCAAAAACAAGTTCATCTTGTTCCAAGAGCTTGCGAGTTGCGATGACCGAGTCGCTGAGTAGCTGATGAGTGGAGAGAGATACACTTATGTGACGAGTGTATCTACATAGGGATTCCACGAGTCGAGGCACACAACTTTGTCCAAAAGTCTTATTCATTTTTTTAAAAATTATAAAAATGACTAATTGCACAATATCATACTACCTCCATCCCAAAATGATTAGTCAAATCCAAAACTTTGACGATTAATATATATTTATTGGAAATTATTTTTAATATAAAAAGTATATGAAAATATTCTTTGTTAAAAGTACTTTCATAAAAGTATAAAATTTATAACTTTCATAATATTATACTAATCAAAACCATGGTCCAAATTTTGAGATTTGGCTAAACATTTTGGGACAGAGGTAGTATTAGGAATAAATTATTTTATATCCATGTTGTTTGAATAATTTTATTTATTATTGTTAGAGATCACTATTGATTTAATTATATCTATATCGTTCAAGTTATTTTAGGAGAATGTGTTGTTTTTTAATACGTGGCATGTTGAACTGCTTAAATATACTAATAATAATTATTGTTCAATATTGATTATGACATAAATAGATAATTAATTATATTTGTAAAATTTTAATAATGGAATAAATATGTCACTAGTATCACCGATTTAGCATATTTCGTTAGTCTATGATAATTTGTTGTATTGGGAGACATGCATGATAATTTACCGATACTGTACCGTTACCAAACCGAAACTTCGGTATACCGAAATGCGGTATACCGAAACTTCGGTATACCGAAATGCGGTATACCGAA